CCCCCCCCCCCCCCCCCCCCCCGCGAGGACACGGGCATTCAAGAACAAGACTGTGCACACATTTGGCACGCGACTCACTTTTTGGAGGTACGAGGGGTTTGCCGCTCGAGGCGCACCATCCCACCGGGTGCACTTCAGGCATGCAGAGGTCACACCAGAAGTCCTTGCTGGTGTCGTTGTCAAAGCCCTCGTACCGCAGCAGAGCCTTGAACCCTGCACGACACACAAAACACGGTGCAACCGTGGAAACAAACAGCAGTCATCAAACCGACGCCCAATCAGGGTCCACTAGCTTGCTCCTTCTAGACTTTCAACCCGACCACATGGTCTCCATCATCAGATGAAGTTTCCTCTGTTGTCATGGAACTGTAGGTGTCATGTCATTGAGCATGTGAAACTCAACTTTTAAGTAACTATGGATGAGAAGTCTTAAGGATAATAAAACATTTCACTCAATCTGCTGATGAAAAATTCAGTGACAGGACGATTAACACTGGAACTCAATACAAAGATGTGTCAACAACATGGCTTGTGGACTGTAAGTTGTTGTCAACATACTTTGTCAGAATGAGTGCATTTGTTTAGATACAGTTGTGCTTGTGCGCATGACGTGTATGTTAGCATGTATAGTTAGGTTTAACAGAGTTGACGCTTAATGATCGTTGACGTTCATCGGTATCGTGTCATAATGACACGACATATGTTCATCGATTTACATCATCGTTGTCCCAAGCAGGAGATAAGACGTGAAAAAATGTGAAGCTTATAAAATACAATACTCATATGCCATAAGTACATTGAAAATATTATTGGTTGCTGTAATTTCTCCGCTCGATATTACTGGCCATGAAGTGATCCCTCACTAGCACCAAACACTGTACGAGATGACTGACAGAATCCAAAGTCAGTGAAAATAAGCCTCCAGATGTCTGAGACAAAGTGAGTGGATCTTCAGAAGCGAGTCCTTTTATAAAAAACGTTTTCCCTTGTTGAGCTGCAGCGGAGTTTTACTTAATTAGATCAGCTGCTCGTACCACCCACAATGCAATGATACAAAGCCGGTTGAAAATCGTCAAAGTAATTCACCGACTTCTGTCCGAGCTGTGCCCCACTGATGTGCATTGTGTCACTGTATTGAACCTCAATGTGATTCCTTTACATGGGATTTTGTGTACATTTGCCATATTGTGATATACAGCATATTCATATTGGAAGATACCGATTTTGACCAAATCAGCTAGTCCCACCTTTCATACATAGGAATGAAAATTTTAATTCTAAACAAAAAAAAAAAAGTAGAAAATACTAATACTAATTGATACTTTTAGGGTAGATTTGTCCTTTGACCAAATTTCCTTTAGCTATCTGAGGAAGTGTGGTCTTACCAGCTAGCTTGATAATTTCTGCTATCCAGTACACCTTAGTGGAGAGGTTGGTATCAGAGTTGGTCACTTCAATCCTCACTCCTTCTTCTACGTCTCCCCAGCATGTCCCCATAGGGGCCTGAAACACGGAGGAAGCAGTGAGTTTTAAAAATCACGAAAGACAGAAATTGGGGGTCGCTACCTACTGAAGTCCAGCTTTTACTCACATGCTTGAAACAGCTGACTGGAGCTCCGATTGTGTTATTGCTACAGATATACCGACCCCAGTCAAAGCTCTCTGCAGGGACCACTGACAGAAAACAAGAGACAGTGTAAAGCTGGAGGACATCTCAACAGAGCAGCACTGTTACACTATTAATCGTATCTACTGCTTTTTGGTAACATACCGGCTTTTGATTTGGCCTGGTTCTGCTGACTTGCTTGGTACTGAGCGTAAGCAGCCAACTTTGCCATAAGAGGCTGTTTCTGTAAGACTTTCGCCTTTTTTGTTGGTGGTTTGCCCTTGCAAAGTCAAAGCAGATATCAATATTAGTGCAATAATATTAGTTTAATCTGAAGTTGTTGTAGGAGGCCTAACAATGCACTTACCTGGAGTCTTGCCAAGATGCTGGCCTTTTTGGAATTTGAGGAATAACTCCGAGAACAGGACACACTGCAGAAGCGCTTGGTTTTTGAGTAAAAGGCATCTCGCACTCCAACCATCCCACACATCTCGCAAGTGGCTGTGAAACAGAGACCACAAAACAGACACATGTATTCTGTTAAAATCATCTCAGATTGCAACATGCTGGCAAAATATAATAATAACATATTCCAAAGCACAAGTTCCAGACATATTTCCATGCACTGACCCATTCCAGCCTTGCCGTCAGGGTAAGTGTAGACTTGGCCATTGTTCTTGATGATGGGCAGGCTTGCAGGGATGGAAGGCACCACCTCATCCTCGCTGTCTTCTGAGCTGGAGCTGCTGGTAGACTCCTCGCTGCAGCTGTCATAGCCATCAAACATCCCGAAGGAGTCTCTCCGCTTGCGCTCTGAACGTGGGGTGCGTTCCGCCTTTACACCCAAGTAAATTACAAAAAGACGTTCAAATTTGAATGTAATATTTTAAGGCAGCAACTAACCATTATGTTCAACAATTAATTTTGTGATTACGTTCTGATGTAGTTTGGGTCAATAAAATGTCAGAAAATGGTGTGAATGTCCATCACAGTTTTCCCAACATTGAAAGCTGTTAGGCCCAAAAAACGTGCAAAGCCCAAATATATTCACTTTTGGATCATAAAGCTCAAAGGAAACCAGCACATATTTGCATTAGGGGCTAGCCACTGGATAGGGACCAGTGGCTTTTTGTCATGTTTATCCAGTACCGGTAACTATTGTACATGCACAGTTTTTACCTTGACGATATTTTACATCTCATTAAAATCTCATCTGCTTTGGAATGTGACCTGGGAAGCTGGCTGTGGAAGCCAATGAGAAATTAATATTAATAAAAAAAGATGTTGAAATGCAAAATCTGCTTGTAATGACTGCCGTGAAAATCTGAAAATGCATTACGCCTTGCGCATTAAATATAACGTTACATGATCCGGAACAGTGTGCTAAAGTGTTTATTTTGACACAGCCGGCCGGTCTACTTCCTCCTCTGAGCATTGCATCCCATCTGTCGGCGCTAACAAAAATCATTTAGCCAGAGCCAGAAATAATTCTAAAAGAAATAAAACAATGCACCAGCCAGGAAAGACATACTACGCTGAATGTAAGCAGTACAAAATAGAAAAGCTAGCTAATACATACACTGGAATTAGGAGAGGCCTTATTGCAAATAGCTCCTAATGCTAACTAGCGTTAGCGCAGCTAGCTAGCGGAAACCTGTTTTCCCAGTTTATATCCATAAATGCAAACCACAATTTTAATTTGGGTAGCAAACCTACACCTACACATATGTTGTTAAAACAAGTGTGATGTTACTTTATTTCTATACTTGTTTATTTTTGGGTGAGCTTGCTGATAATAACGCTGGCTGACCCACTAGCTAGCTACCAAACAGATAACAACAAAGGAGTAGCGCTAGCCTACTAGCAGCAAATCCTCTGTAATCGGAGGCTCGCGGCCGTAAAATGTTTCAAATTCACTTACCAAATCCCTTGTGTCTTCCATCAGCCCTTCATATAGATAACGTTCTAGGTAACTGTGCTGCCCAGTGCAAATAAAACCCCTACGATGGGGATAAATTCTGGTTTTGAAATACCAAAGTCTAAATGAATACTACCAAGCAGGATATCAACAAAATACTCTGCTGCCTCTGCGCATGTGCGAGTGTAACCTACTTTCATGCAATTGGTCAATCCGGAATGGAGGTCATCAACCCACACAGAAACAAAACAGTGGACTCTGCAATCGAAATGAATGAATGGCCTCCTCAGTTTAATGGCCTCAACAGAACTAGAGTAGATCCGTGGACGTTTTGATGTTTTTTTGACAGTTTTTGGAAATTCCTCTTTAGGTTTTTTCTTTTGAAGAGAGACACAAAGAAAGACAGGTGACCCGAAAGTAAGAATATTTCAAAATAAAATTCAAGGCAATAGAATGACGGTATGCAGGAAATTCTTATTTACAGTCCCTGATGCAGGGTAACTTTAGAATACAAATAAATTAATGAATGTAAATAGATACATATGGTTAGATTGGAGTATGTCAGGAACAGTATGTGACTACAGGTGGTTTAATATTCATGTACCATACAGCAATAATTAACTTTTCTATTAATCAGTGCATTGTTTAATGCAATACAGTTTGTAATATAGTTTAATCAAAGACAATTTGTGTGTGCAGAGTTGTTGCTGTTGGCACTGATATTTATTTTCCCACCATATTCCGTTCCTTGCGTGAAGGCAGAGCACATCAGCCTGTAAAAGTAGACGCAGAGTAAAAGTGTTCACCATTTCTACCACTAGATGACAGTGTATTTAAACCATATATTTAGTTATATTTACCTGTGACTTTGTTAATTATCCAAGTTATCGATACAGATGTATTTAATGCAGTTTATTTCATCTGATATTTGATGTTGTTGGTTAATTTGCAACCTAGTTATATACATCATGTATTTACTTGTTATTTTTATGTCATGTCAGAACCAAACATACCTACATGGAAGTGAAAGCATGTGATGATCATGAGGCAATAAATGACAGTTGAAAAATATAGACATTTGGTTTATTCTTATTAAACAGCCTTCAGTGGACCTTGTTTCAGTTACCACTTAGTCATAGCACCATCTGTGCTTCCCATTTTGACCTTCATTACTATATCATCACTGCACTCATCACTCATCTTTTTATCAATATGCAATTTCCCATAATGCACCATTCCCTTTAATGGAAAGACATTTTCCTTCAAATTTTAATAAAACAGATAGTTTGCTTCCGATAATTCAAAAATCAGCAAACAATTGTGACCCATTTACCAACACAATCATCACAGAAATACACATTTGTTGATAACTGATGTTTCCAAACTTTCATACATCATTTCAGCTACATCAGGGATCTGCAATATATCACAGAAATGTATACATCATATGTTACTACTCACTGGGATTAATCCCATAATATCCACATCTTTTGACAGTGTTACCTGCTCACTCCCATAATTAACCAACAACATCAAATATCAGATGAAATAAACTGCATTAAATACATCTGTATCGATAACTTGGATAATTAACAAAGTCACAGGTAAATATAACTAAATATATGGTTTAAATACACTGTCATCTAGTGGTAGAAATGGTGAACACTTTTACTCTGCGTCTACTTTTACAGGCTGATGTGCTCTGCCTTCACGCAAGGAACGGAATATGGTGGGAAAATAAATATCAGTGCCAACAGCAACAACTCTGCACACACAAATTGTCTTTGATTAAACTATATTACAAACTGTATTGCATTAAACAATGCACTGATTAATAGAAAAGTTAATTATTGCTGTATGGTACATGAATATTAAACCACCTGTAGTCACATACTGTTCCTGACATACTCCAATCTAACCATATGTATCTATTTACATTCATTAATTTATTTGTATTCTAAAGTTACCCTGCATCAGGGACTGTAAGTAAGAATTTCTTGCATACGGTCATTCTATTGCTTTGAATTTTATTTTGAAATATTCTTACTTCCGGGTCACCTGTCTTTCTTTGAGTCTCTTCAAAAGAAAAAACTAAAGAGGAATTTACAAAAAACAAATGTGGCTCGTTATTTGACTTTGGTTCTATGAAAACGTACACGGACCAGATAATAAAACTTCTCCAACACAAATACAATTAGAGGGGATATTCATTGTGAAACTAGTTGTTTTACAATTAAGTCACTTCAGTTTCGTACCACTCAAACTATAATTTAAAAGAAATTAGGATTTATGCAAGAAGATAAACTAGAGAATAAACCCTTCTCCAAATACCTGGTAAAGGCAGCTTTGGGGTAAAATGGTCTTGCTCATCGTAATCCATTTCTTTATTTTGAAATATATATTTGTAATATGACCAGCATATCAAAGTAAGACGCAGACAATTCTTGTGACATAAAATAAATCCTTTATCATATATAGTGCAGTCTTTTACACCTCTGAAGGTAAACTACCACGTTCTTCTGTCTTTAGTGAATGCTTTTCAATAGATCCCACATTTTTATACCGAACAAAATCTGCGGAGCAAATTCAATAATACTGTATGGTTTCATTTCCAAAATATAAGAACTTGTCAGACCAAATATACAGGCCATGACAATCTTAATATACATACAAGTTGAGAAAAAATAGACATTAGCTAATCAGCTGCCTTCTCGTTCCACCGACTCATCACAGTGCTTTTTTCAAAAATAATACTGGCTTTCTGTTTTTGTTCCTCTCGTCATTTCTTGAACACGAAACGTAGTAACGACACATAGTAGCAGAGCGGTGTTGTACAACACAACAGCAAGAAGGCAAAATATAGCAACTGTACTGTGGTAACACCAATAAAGTGAATATGGCTGAATAATATGGCTTCACAATGAGGATTTATGCGGTTGGGGTCAGACATTTGAACCGATGCTGAGGAGTGGACGGTCTCTGGAAGACAAGAGGAGGAGAGGTCTTTACTTTAATGGACAGAGTGGAATGTTACAACTCATTCAGTCCTCTAGCCAGGAAACAACACCTTTGATGTCTCTTCATGTCTTTGGTCTCAGAGCAGCTCATCTTCTATGACATCGTCGACGCTTCCTGAGATTGAAGCAGCTTCTGTTGGACAAAGAGAAAACACTCCAGTTAACGTCTATTTAGCAATCATCTCAACAACAGCACAGCTGGACTCAGAAGGTTGTCAGAGAATCACAGTGGGATGAGTAATTTCACTGAACATGTAATGCACCGAGATAATGTCATAAACTACTAATAGGGCCGCATATTGAACTTAAGAGAAATACTTCACTCCTAAAATGATCATTTGTTTATCAATTACTCGCCCTGTCTTACCTTGAATTCTTGGAGAAAACTTTTTCTTTTTAACTCTTTAAACACGGCCCCCATATACTTCAATTCATCCAAAAATATCTCAGTTTTTAATTCTCTGTTCACCATGGAAACATGCGAGAAAAACCCAGTTTGCTTCAGGAATTAAAGGTAAAACGGGGTGAGTAATTGAAATACAGATGGTTATTTCAGGGGGGTGAAGTATTCCTCCAATTACAATTCCACCAACAGAAACGTATCTGGAGCACTGAATGCTCAGACTCTGTCTTATTGTCTGATCAGATAAGTGTGACCTTTGGCTTGTTGTTGTTTTCTCTTTTTTTGGGGGGGAGGGGGCTAAATATTGTCTTTAGAGAGATATACTTTTGATACGTTATCCAGCGGTTACTTCATTTACAGGGCCCGGTATCTGAGCGCTGTGAGGACTGAACTGAAACACCTCTGGCTTAGTGTGGAGTGTGAGAGAGACAGCTGGGCCTACGTATGCATTAAGCTCCAGCAGAAATCACCCACAGCACGTGAATTAAGGAGTTCCAATTCAACATTGACCTGCACCTGTTTACTGTGTTGTAAAATGGGCACAGGTTAATGCTTAAATCTGACGTCCGTCCTGTTCGCCGCTCGTCCACAAAGTCGGTTCCACATTTCTGTTGCACATCTCCGTTAAGAGCCTTGGCTGGACGTTGCTTCACGCTCGGGTGAACTGTTTTTTTCCCCCCTCTGGTTCTGTAAGTCCTTGTATGTGGCATTATACTAACTCCCATTTCATCTTTATCCAATGTTGTCTTCCCAAAACCTTGTTTTCCTATCTATTCCAGCTCCATTTAGGTCCCTATTTGTCCCCTTCACCTTCTAGCATCTTCATTTCGGCTGTGAGCACATGTGGTGGCGCTGGTCCATTATTTGTTTCCAGCTGAACCGGCTCTCTCCGTCATCTCTGCTGTCGTCTCCTCCTTTATCCTTCGTCATCTCCTTATTGACAGATGTTCTGGCAGATGTGAAGGTTGTTGCTGGTGCAGCTCCTCACTAGACTGTTCAGACCTGACATCGGCATGCGTCAAGCGTTCCAGACGCATTGAGATCAGATGGCTCAGACCACATTCTGAGGCGGTCCACATTCTTTTAGCAGTTTGTTCTGGAATGTGTCCTACATTAAGGACCGCCTCTTACAACTGACGTCCCACTTGGATTCGCGATCCAATCTGTATTTTTTTAATAAATGGTAAATGGACTTATATTTGTAAAGTGCCTTTCTAGTGTTTCCTGTCTAGTGTCAACATTACATGTCCTCATTCACACCCATTCACACACTGATGGCAGGGACTACCATCAGAACTAACTAACCATTCACACCCAATCAAAGAAGCCAGCAAATATTAAGTGAAGGAGGGAAATGGAAGTTACTGTACTCACCTGATAGGCTGATGCAGGAGAGACTCAGCTCTGATGAGGCTCCGATCACGTCGTCCTGTAGGAGGACAAGAAGATGTCAGAGTGTTTGAGAAAAGAACAACAAGTGTGTATCAGCGACAGTACTGAGTCGGCTACGTTGTGGTTTGTTGTTCACTAAAAAGGATTAATGCTAGGGTTTTCGTTTTTGCTTAAAAATGCAGTTGAGATAAGCTTTTGTCTGGTTTCTTTAGACTCAATGTTCACGTGTTCCACGTAGATGCTTTGGTCTGATAAATGGTTAAAACAGCTGCTCCACTGACTGCATTTACATAATTACATAAAAAAGCAACAAGTAGAGGATGTTTTCAAATATTTCAGTCCCAGTTTAAGATGATATAGGAGGCTCCCGCCTGAAAGTTCTCCCAGGTCAATGTGATGTAAATGTGTTTGATGCGGACAAATCATTTTCTGTCAACGGAGTGCTCGACTAATCACTTCCGCTCTACGTCAGCCTCTACGCAAGCATTCAAGAAAAAGAGAATTCTTATTATCATTAATACATTTTGTGGTTTCAATAGAAGTAATAATTGTCCCTTTAGCGTCCCTTAAATCTAGATATTAAACTGGCCTTTAGATAAAACCGCTGTTAACTGTTATTCGTTAAACCTTTCCCTCATCAGTGTTAATGAATGAATCCAGTGTGTTCAGTGAATCACCAGCATCCTCTGTAGACAGCCAAGGTTGCTGCCCTCGGTCGTCACGTTCACCGCCTCCTGGAAGCTGACAGCACGGCCCAGCCGTACGAGCTCCTCGCCGATATCTACGGTCTGAGAGAGGCAGTTGTTTTTACAAGGTGTGTGCAAGGAGACAGCAGACAAACACAGATACGCGACACAAAAGAAGAATAAAAAAACCACAGCAGCTGACCTTGCCCTCGCTGTTGTCGTAGAGCTTGACGCTGGGCCAGGAGGAGACGTCAGAGTGGGAGTAGCTGCAGAGTTTGGCCTGCAGGGGTCTCCAGCAGGCGCAGTATGTCAGCTGCTCAAACTCATCCAGGGCTGCCTCAGTCCACACCTCTCCTGACCAACAAGAGGACAATTTAGGAAATGCGAAAAACAGGAATTTGAGGGGAGAGCAATCAATTGTTATTTCTGAATATTGCACAAAGTGTTCTACTTTTTCTGAGTTACAAGACTGTGTGATAGTTTTACCTTTTGGTCTCACTCCTGCCAAGTTGCACTCAATGGCTTGGAATGGTAAACTGAGGAAGTCGCTCCTGAAATATCAATGCAGCAAAAGCAATTCATAACTTTGCTAGGGCTGAGCCATTTTATCAAAATATTATCATAATCGTAATATGACCTTCAGGGATTATGAAATGGCATGTTTGTTAAAGGCTAAATGTGTGTCCAAATAGCATTTAAAATGAAATATTGTGGTGCTGCAGATATGTCCCAGCCCACACATAATCATTGTCTCTACAGATGTATGAAAACAAGTGCTTTAACATTGTTTTCAGTTTTCACATTGTCATTTGATACATTGTCATCAACCACATCCATTAGAGCCCTTACATACATGTATAGTTAAGAGATAGAGCCTCTACTTGACAGCGAATGCAGTGGAGGTATTACTGTAATCTACAGACTTACCTCATACGGCAGAGGCTGTCTCTGGGCATGTCCCCGTTGTCCCCAAAGTCAACGTAGTAAAGGTCCACCAGTCCAGAGCCCAGCACTCCCAGCACCCTGGCCCTGTTCCACGTGCCGTGCTCGTGGTATGGAGCGGCAACGATGTCCCCCACCACAATGGTCTCCACCCTCTGCTCCTGGAGAACAGGAGCCCACTTGTTATTTCTAACACAACTTGTTTGTATTTTTTACTACTCCTATTATTATACTTTGTCTTTCTTTTATCTGGGGTATATTCATGCTGTAACTTTTGGAACTACAGTTCCCATAATTTGGGGGCTTTGGGAGATCTTAACAGGAAGTTAAATGTCGGAGTCAGTGAGTTAGCCATGCGCTAAAACTTGAGCCCTGTTTTTTTTGTCTGCATTATAAGTATGCTGAACTAGCTATTAGCAGTTCCTGTTTGCAATGCACCAGTGATGCTCTGATTAATTTGTTCCAAATAGTTTGATCGGTGGTCTCTATAAAGGCTGATCAGATGACATTTTCAGTATTTGCCAGTCTGAGGTCACATAGAATGTGGACATTGGAGATAATGATATCCTCGGATAGTATAAGTCACACTGAATGCATCCAGTCTGTGTGGTCAGATTTGACTGAGTTTGCGGTAATGGTGCACTAAGGGTTGCCTCCTTGAGCTGTGTGTTACAGCCACTTCTTCAGCTGTTAGTGCCAACTGTGTTGATAAGCGGGCAAAACCAGCAGACCAGGCTGCAGTAACTACCCATCACCTCACACAGTGTCTTTTACCCTAGTGATGCCTCACAGTTTATGTCATATATGTAAAAGAGACAGCAGTCCTCACAGTGGGGTTGCCACTGTTGTAGAAGCGGGTCATCTCCTCGGTCAGTTTGTCCAGCTGAAGGGAACGAACCCCCAGGATCTGGATCCAAAAGTGGTTCGGGTTCTCTGATGCAGAAACATAAACCTCTAGATGTTCATCAGGCTGGAAGCTCAGGTCTGGGCTGGGAACTGGACAACAGAGAGGAAAAAAAACACATTTTTGTATGATATGACTGTGTTCAAGGACAGGTTTCAGTGAGGATGTTGCGGTGTGGATCGTCTCCTCAATTATTAGAAAGTGAACTCACTTTCGAACTTAGAAATTTCAGAGAGGGAGTCTGTGGAGACACTCTCGTCCTCCTCCTCCTTGTTGGCTGTGTTGGTGATTTTAAACTCCTCAATCTTGTCAAAAATTGTTTCTGGTTCTGCTGCGGTCCCGTTGGCATGGATACGCCCATTCTTCTCTGTCTGGGAGTAAGGACCGTTGTTGTTCAAGCCCTCTGGGGCTTCTGTCTCTGTGCCGTCTGGCCTCTGATTCACAGCGGTGTGGCCACGTTTCTGCCGCAGGGCGGATGACTGTGAGATCTTTGTCCTCACCATCGTGTCCTCCCGGACTTTCTCTAGAATCAGCTCCTGCGAACAGATCGTAAAAGAGTTTAATTTATGTTGTTACAAGTGGACTGACGGCGTGAGGGACTCCTACTCACCTTGGCCTGTTCCACCTCCTGTCTGGTCCCTGTGATTGTCACGTTGCCCTTGGCCCCGGGGCCGTGCGTGTTCTCTTTGGAACAAGCTACTTTGGCCCCTGTGGTCCTGGTGATAAGTTTCAAACTCTCCCCGCCGCGGCCTGCAACACACACACCAAGACACACACACAGGCGTTGGGTTAGTCAAACAGTACATGGGGCTAAAACCAATTCGATATTCTTCTTACCATCAACAAATTCCATTTGTGGAGCCAAACAAACAATGAATAGATCCTTGGAGCGGATTTAGCAGAGTTAAAAGAAGCTAAAAAGCTCTGTAGGTCAGAGGGGAACTGCAGAGTTGGGTGATAATTCTCTGTTGGATCTTCCCTACATGTATAAGTAACATCTTTCACATTGCCAATTGTTCATATAACATATTGGCTAGTGTAAGTTTTAGCATGCAAATGTTTTTATGCTAATGAGAAGAATAGGCTGCCAGCAGTAAAAAAAGAAAACAACAACAAGTTACCTATTATACGTCCGAAGGCGGTCTGAGGAACTTCCAAAGCCTCGGTCACCGGTTTGCAGTCAGTGACCAGGTTCTCCAGGACGCAGCGGGCCAGCAAGACCTGCTCCTGAGATCCCTGCAGCAGGAAACAAACAGTCGTCTTACATCCAGCCTCCCCGGGATTCGGCAAAATCCTCACATGAGCTCCGGACTGCTGGGCCACCTGAGAGAAAGAGACAGCAGGCGAGCACAGTTAGGCTGCCGGAGAGGACTTTCCTCTTCATATATGAAAGTTAATCATCTTTTGTCCTTTATCTTTAGGACAACACAAGCTACTTGAATATGTCTTCTTGGGTACTGAGAAATTGTGGGCGTGTCTCACTATCTTCAAAATTTCTGAAATTGTCAAAATGAGGGACTTTAATATGAAATGTTATTTCATCATTCTATGGATTTGTTAAACAAGAGTTAAATCTTATTTTTTTTAACTTCTGTGATTTACCTCAAAAGAGGGCGAGTGCATCTCCTTGGCTGACAGGGGAAGGGAATGGTGACTAAACCACTGAGAGTCACAATATCAACATTTTATTTTGAAAAGGGGCCTTCCAAAATAAAATTGAAAGATGAAGTAACATTTCTCAATAATAACTTGAGTTTTAAGAATTTCTTCAATTATTTAGAAATTGTTATACTATAAATAATTAACTTTTTTTAATGTACAAAACACTTGGAGAGACAAAATTCTGCAGATGAACTGAAAATGAAAGTAGTGATTAGTTGCAACCCTCACCAAATAAAAACAAATCTTTGCAAAAAAGTAACTCATCTTGACAGGGGAGTATACATACACATATACACACATACACATACATACATACACATATATACATACACATATATACATACATACATACACATACATACATACATACACATATATATATACATACATACATACACATATATATATACATGCATACATACACATATATATATACATACATACATACACATACATACATACATATATATACATACACATACATATATATACATACACATACATATATATACATGCATACACATACATATATATACATGCATACACATACA